ACCAATATAAGTTTTGTATTATAGCTCATATCGTTTATAGTAAACTCAGTCGGACATCCAAACATAATGAAACCTGCTCTAGTTGCAGCACATGTTACACTCGTCCTTAAAGTATTAAATAAGTCAACAAACCTGTTGGTGGTATATCTGAGTAAGTATCTTCAAAGGAGTATTTTTTACCATTCACAACAATAAAATCTTCTGGTGTCAAAAGAGCAAAACAGGCTTTAGTCGTCATTGTGTTTAAGGTTAGTTTACAATATCGTCCTTGAGGACTTTGTAAGTTTGTTGTTATAGAATTATATGACTCAGGGTTTTAGTCGTAATAGTATAAACCATTGTGTCTTCTGCCATTTACTTAGCAAATAAATTTTAATGAAATGTTGTGGTCGTCAAATATTTTTATAACGTCTGGGAAACTATATTTTAAGTTCAACGTTTCACCTCCTTTCATAACGTATATCTTGTCAATGACATTATATGAAACACCACAGCAACTAACGTCGGGTTCTATTTCTTTGATGTTTATATCGTCTGCCTCTGTCAAAAGTTTCAATAGTTCTTTCAAAACTTCATGAGGTGCGATGACATATGAGTTCACTTTTACAGGGTTGTGCTCAACCAAGTTTAACATTATACCCAAAGCTTGACAAATCTTCTCCTGAGTTTTAAGTTTGTCTTTAAGTTGTTGGTAGTCATTTCGAATATCTGCAACAGAACTTAAGTCTCTGCTAACTTCAGGGTATTTGTTGTTCTTTTACAGGAACTATTGTTATACCATCTTGGTCTTCGTATGGTTTCCCCACTTCAACATCTCTTTCTTTGACATTGACAACAACACTTTGACTGTTTGTTTGAGTTGGTGAATTTAACTTCACATCTGCCACCGCCATTAAACCTTTTGAAACACTCACGCTTCTATTTTTCGGAAATGACATTTTACTTAGAATAAAAAGATGGACGTATTCGAGTATCTCTTCGAATTGAAGCAGAACAAAGTTTACACACACAAACAATACAAATACATTGACAGAATAGTTCTTTATACAAACAATGGTAAATGTTATAGAATAGCAATATTTGCTGAACCAAAATATTTCCATAAAGCAAAGAAAGTTGGTATAACTGAAATGGTGAAAGTTCTTGAAGCAGACAAAAATATAACAACAAAACTTACAGATATTTCTAAAGGTAAGTTTATAATACAATTTTATGTCAAAACTGGCGTACTGTCAATATTTGACGGAGAGAAGTCAGTTCAAGAACAACTTACTGACCTGCTGCCAAAATCTGCTCGATGGAAGCTGTCGTTATGCCAATCTGAGGAGCCCCAGCGTTTCATCGAACGAATCTTCAAAAGAGCATCTTCCGTGAAAAGTGCTATTGGTTTTGTAAACTTCTTTGCTCTCAGTTCATCTGGACCGTCTCTGTCACCAGTATATTGTATTTGTACAGTACCAACAGTTGAAATACCACCCATAAAGTCTTCTGAGTCAGCAAATGGAATGCCAAGCCAAAAGTTTGAACGGTCTCCATTTGTATATTGAGTTTTTTGACCTCCTGTATGAGTCCATACTTCACATATGGCATAATAGAACTTTGCATTTCAGGGTTAATGTTGTTGTGAAGTTGTTGTTAAAGTTCATAGCATCTAATGTCAAGTTGTATGACCTCATATCTTCAACTGTAGAATATTCTTCTCTTGGATAATATTTGCCATCTATGTTTATATGGTATTTAATACCAGGGTTGTAGAAGCAAGAATAGTCATTTATAGTTCGTCTGAACAGTACAAACATAGTATCTGCATGTTTCATTGCAGTTGTTAAAGCAATATCTGTTCTTGCACCTGGGTCAGCACTTTGGTTTCCAACTTCACCTGCAAAGTCTTTGACAGATATTTGGTGTATAGGGAACATAAGTGGAACTGCAATATATTTGGCAGCTAAAGCATTTGAAATATCTGGGTCCAACATATAGACTGCAAGTCTGCTTTCTATTCTCTTGCATTCAAACTTTTCGCATGTGAACTTAACTGGGTCCCAAGCAGTTCCAGCAGCATTGAAGTAGTAGTTTACTTCAGTGTTGAGGTTTGAGAAACCAAAGTCTAAGTCAACTTTGTCTTTGCAAAATTCGGCGAATGACGTTTGATTTGCTCCCTTTACGTCTGTAAGAGTGAATGGGTCTTGTGTTGGTGCAATGACTAAGTTATTTTTGCTTGGAGTAAGTTCGATAGAAATTTTTCCTGCCCAGTTTGGCAAGTATCTTAAAAACCTGAAGATGAGGAAAGATGACAAAGGAACTCTAAGTTTCAGTTTTACTTTGGTTACTGCTGCTGCAGTTTGTCCAGAAAGGTCAACATAAACTCCTGGAACGTTAGGGTCAAGTCTTCTTATTTTCTCAATAGTTGCATACTGGTCTGTTTTCTCTAGCTTGTGGTTGTACTGAGTTTCTCAAAGCGAACCATTCATAGTTTGCCCATGTTACTGTTTGAACTAAGTCAGAGTTAGAATATATCTTATATCCCATGAAAACTTCTGGAGCATATTGGTATCCGACATAGAAAATTCCATTGCAACCTTTCTTGTCAGACAACTTGGCAGAAGGTTTTATTTCAATGTCTTGTTCCACGTATAAGAAAGAGTTGTCAATAGAAATTATATGAAACCTGTCGCAAGCAATATCTACTGTTGTTGAAGAACCTTCTCCAAACTCACCTACGTTTCCATAAGAAACAGCAGTTGTATATTCGTAAGTTCCAGGAACTATTTCTGACCTTCTAATGGCATTGTCGCATTCGTTATACCATTCGGAAACATTTCCATTCATGGCATCCAAAACTGTTGGCGTTATATTCTGAGCGGCGTACATTTCATATGAGTAAAAATATAGAATAGTTGGATTTATATGTCATAATAGAACCCACGTGGACCAAGCTTTACTTTCTTCCTGACTGAGTTTTTAACTCTTCTTTTTCCTTCATTGCCCTCTGCTTGAAGTTGTTGCATCTTTGCATTATGTTCATCTAGTATGTTGCAAATTTCCCATGTCCTTTTTGCCTTTTGGCTCTGGTCGCCCATCTCAGGTAACCTATATCCTAGAAAGAGTTTGTCATAGTCTGTATTTGAGTCTTCGCGTATTGTTTGCATGACTCTTTCCTGAGTTTCCGGTTCAAGCTCTTCAAACAGTGCCTGTCCATATGGAATATGCTCGTTTCCAAATATATGTTTTTGTAGCCATTCTGGTTTTCTTTCCATGTTACCAACTATATCTTTTGTGAATGGGAAAGCTTTTACCCAATCTTTCAGTCTTGCGTCGTTTATTTCTGTAGTTGGTTTTATTTTGTCAAGGAACATGTTTTCAATACTAACATTTCATTTGGTACTGTCCATTTGAGTTTTCTTAAATATTCATCCCTTCTCGGTTCATTGTCTGCAAAGTAAGTTTTTATGACATTTTGTAAACTTTCGTTTGCAAGGTCATGTACAATAGGTTCTCTTCCTTCTCTCTCCCTAACTTTCTTTCTAAACTCTTCACCAAATATACCATCTCTATGGTTCTGTGTAGTTCTTTGAGATAAATGTTCTAGAACGTCAGGTGTTATATTTCCATCAGCCATGTTCATTTCATACTGGTCCAAAATATCTGCATGTTTCATATCTTTCAATGGCATTAAAGCCGCGCTTAAAATACCAGCTATATCTGGTTCACCATTGACTTCCATTGCGTCTACAACTTCTTGGAATTGTGGTTGTAAGTTTATGAACCACCTATCCGGATTAGCTTTATGACCCCATCTCATTGTAGTTCCATCGTCTGCAGAAACAAAAGTAGGTTTGTTTCCATCTTGGTTAGGTTCTGAATGAACTTTAAACAATGTTTCATTTCTATATGTTTTCTTGAAATTTAACCTTTTATTTTCACCGAGTTCATCCGAAGATTGAACGTTAAATGCTCGTAAGTAAAAAGGGTTGTTGTATTTGTGTACATTTTCTTTCAGTGCTTCCATTCTATGCTGAATATTTTCATCTGGTGTTGGAGTCTTTTGTATGTCGGCAAACATTTTTCGATATTCTTCTACTATGTCAGCTGAATTTTTTTTAGACTCTTGGAAATATTCCATATTCTCCGCATACTCTTGTTGAGGGTCAAGATTTTTCGGCTGTTCCAAATCTTCATCTAGTTCTGTGAAGTTAGTTTCCAAAGGAGTGACTTGTTCGTTTCCTTCAGGCTCTTCTAGCTGTTGTTGCTGAACTATTTCTTCCATGTCTGGTTGTATCTGAACTAGTTCTTCCTGTGGAGTTTCTTGTACCTCATCTGCTGGCATTTCATATATTCCGAGACCGTTTTCAACAAGTTCCCTTTCTAAGTCATCCGGACTCAAAAACCTTTCTTCTTTCGTTCCGTCTCTATTTTTTACGCGTTTCATGACGGGAGTTGAATTGTCATTTAGCTCTGACATCAAATATCTCGGAGTAAATTCAGTCATGTCATTTGGATGATATGCTATTAAATCATATCCCTTAGCGAGCTTGTATTTTCCAGGTTTGAAATTATATCCCATTTGGTGCTGAACCATAAAGCTAAATAGGTTCGGGTCAGTATTTCCATCCTTGAACTTTCTAATAGCTTCTTTATATCTGTCACTAAAGTCAATACTATCTGGGTAACCATAGTCTTCCTTAAGCCTTTTTAAGAATTCTTGGTTTCCTTGTTCTCTACTTCTTTTATGTCCTTGCTCTGTTTGTGGTTGTTGTTGTGCAGGGTTTTGAACTGTTGGTTGTGGTTGTTGTTGTGCAGGGTTTTGAACTGTTGGTTGTTGTGTTGGTTGTTGTGCTGGTTGTTGTGTTGGTTGTTGTTGTTGTGCTGGATTTTGAACTGTTGGTTGTTGTGTTGGTTTTGGTGCATGCCTGTGTCTGTGTCCATGTGACGATGTAAATGTTTTAGGTAGTCCTGGTGCAGGTGCTTCTCTTGGAGGGTTTGGTGGTATATAAATTCCAACAGCTGGTATATAAGTTCCACCAGCTGGCACATATGTTCCATCTGCAGCGTAATGTCCTACCTGACTTTTCGTTCTTAAGAAAGCATTTACTAGGTCTGTTTTGGTCTGTTGTAACTCTTTTTCTTGACTTTTCACAACAGTTGCTCTAACGGCGTCATAGGCACTTTGAACTGCCTGTCTCGTTGCTGCATCTGTTATTTTCGTCATATTTTGTGCTACTTCTTTTAACTCTTTGTCGAAACCTTCAGACTTCAGTTTCTTTCCAGATGAGAAGTCGTTCACTAGTTTCACCTTACTATGAAGAGCTTCGAAGGCGTTCTTAAAGTCAGCATTCGTTAAAGCTTCATTTGAACTGTCTTCATCCGCTTGTATTTTTGTCCTTATTGACCCTATAAGCTGGGCTGCTTTGGCGTTGGCTTGGGCATCTAACCAGTCATTGTTAGCTTTTATATATTCTGCGCTTTTCATTGCCTTTTGCATGGCTGCGTCGTTATTTTTACTTTCTTGTGCTAAGTTTTCATACTGTACGGTTTGGTTTTGCAACTGTAAAAGTTTTTCTGCCTTTACATTTGCTTCAACTTCTTTTTTATACTCATTGCTATCCATATATGTCTTCAGGGCTTTTTGTTTTATCTCTTCATCTTTCAGTACTTTATATTGAGTAGTATGGTTTTTCAAATTTATGACATCTTGTTCCATTTTTGCTACTTCTGCTGCTTTTTCTGACACTTTTTTCGCATATTGCTCTGTACTTAGTTCTTTCAGTTGTTCTTCTTTCTTCTTTTTCTCTACGTTTAACTCATTTAGTTTCTTTGTGTGTCTGTCATATTCTAGTTTCTTTTCGTTTTCACTTATTTGCTTCTGTATGTCTATGTTTGACTTTTTGACATCTGTTATTTGATTTTTGAGTGAACTCAAATTCATTTGACTTTGAGGGTTATAAGCTGTTCCGTCTGCAGCTCCACCATAGCCTGCCATTTTCGCTAAAAGTGCCGCTCTTAAACCTCCACTCTGTGCACCAAGAACTCGGTTTAAAAGCATAGGATTGCTTGACATTTGTTGCAACATAGTGGGGTCATTCAGCATTTGTTGTTGCAACTGTTGTTGTGGTGTCAGTTTTACTTTTGGATGTTTCAATGCCCCTTCCTCTTACGTATATTCTTACGTAGCTTACGTGGCATTTTAAGTGAAGTTAAAAAGCGGTTTTTGACAGATGTTTTATTGTGACTTCTTCGTAAAGACTTTGTTGAGATTTCTTCGTAAATGAGTGTAAATGACCCAAAAATATATTTTAGGGTAGAAGGGTATATCTAACCTCTTTTCTAACCTCTTTTCTACCTCTTGAATTTTCATGAATTTCTTCGTAAAGACTTTGTTAAGACTTCTTCGTAAAGACTTTGTTGAGACTTCTTCGTAAAGACTTTGTTGAGACTTCTTCGTAAAGACTTTGTTGAGACTTCTTCGTAAAGACTTTGTCAAGACTTCATCGTAAAGACTTTGTTGAGATTTCTTCGTAAATGACCCTAGTAGTATATTTTTGGTGTAAATTTCATGAAAATTCAAGAGGGTAGAAAAGAGGTTAGAAAAGAGGTTTAGATACCCTTCTACCCTAAAATATATTTTTGGTGTAAATTTCATGAAAATTCATGAAAATTCAAGAGGTTAGAAATGAGGTTAGAAAAGAGGTTAGATATACCCTTCTACCCTAAAATATATTTTTGGTGTAAATTTCATGAAAATTCAAGAGGGTAGAAAAGAGGTTAGAAAAGAGGTTAGATATACCCTTCTACCCTAAAATATATTTTTTGGTGTAAATTTCATGAAAATTCATGAAAATTCAAGAGGTTAGAAATGAGGTTAGAAAAGAGGTTAGATATACCCTTCTACCCTAAAATATATTTTTGGTGTAAATTTCATGAAAATTCAAGAGGGTAGAAAAGAGGTTAGAAAAGAGGTTAGATATACCCTTCTACCCTAAAATATATTTTTGGTGTAAATTTCATGAAAATTCATGAAAATTCAAGAGGTTAGAAATGAGGTTAGAAAAGAGGTTAGATATACCCTTCTACCCTAAAATATATTTTTGGTGTAAATTTCATGAAAATTCTGAGTAAAATGACAGATGTTTATATGACACTTTCTCCGGTTTATAGGACCTCTCTCATATTCTAAACATCCTCAGGGCTAGAAGGCACGAAGTGCCTGGAAGCCCCACTTCCTTTTTTTTTTTTTTTTTTTTTTTTTTTTTCAATAAACCAGGTTTCAGCGGATAACTCCCAATTCCTAAATTTTTTGATCTGAATTCCAAAAAATGATTTCTCGTAAAAAGTGACAATTTATCCGAAATCTCGATTTTTATTTTCCAAATCAAACAACTTTTTGCAATAAATCTAGATCGAAGAACATACTTTTTGTATGACTAAGAGATAAAAACTTTAGCTAAAAACACTTTTCCATGAATAATATTTTTAATTATTCTAATATAAAAACAAAAAAAAGACATAAATGTTAAAAAACATTCAACCGCGATGCTCCTGCGAATACATCCGCATCAATGAAAGTGGATGGATCTGACCAAACCTTAAGGAGATGTCCATTAGAAGTAATTATCCAATTATCGAAATCGTAAAGCGAAGAATCGCCGAAAATCAAATACAAGAGTTTGAAAAACCCTGAATATACTCTGGGCGAAACTTCTTTGTGTAACTGTGTCACTTTTCCGTCTGATTCGACTCTAACGGGACAATACCCGTAATCTGTAACGCAGCTTGCGTTTACAGCCTTGTATATCTTCCATGCAGCATCTCTGTACTTCTTATCATGTGTGGATCTGTAGAAAATGAACAAAACTTCTAATACTCTGTGGCTTAAGTCATATTCGTTTTCGTATGGGACAAGCTTGTCACCAACGAGCTTTGCACTCTTGGGAGGAAGGCCATTTTCGTTTAAACTGAGGAATTCGAATAAACCATTCATCAATTTTTCCGAAAGTTGGCCGTATCTGTAAACATCTTCAGGAGGAATATCACGTCTAAGTTTTATAAGGCCTGCATACAAGAAACTATCAAGAGTAACAATATTTTCCCTTGTAGTTTTATTATATCTGATTAAATAGGCTTTGTCGCCTCTGTATTCGATAAAGTTCTGCGCAATAATTTCAAATATCTCTTTCATATGATTTTGTACTGATATAACAGAGTCTTTCGTTAATAAATTCAATTTAATTAAATTATCATAAAAACTGTAGCCATTACTATCAAAACTAAGCATCCCAAATACCTCTTGGTTATTACTTCTATTGAATAAGTTCTGATGCAAGCCGTGAGAACGAGATTGAATGATTTTATCATAAATGTGAAGAGCAAACAAGTAATAACTCTTCGTAATCGTGTATCTAAACATCTGAAGTGAACAAAACATCGTAGATGAGAACTCATGAATGTTAAAAATCGGATTTTCTGTTGGTTTTAAGAGATTATTGTCAAATGCGACCATATCACAGCCACCATACACTGAGTAGTTCAATCCGGACATATATTTTTGAATCATAGATGCGTATGTTGGTTCATTTGTCATTTCATATGCAGATTGAAACGCTTCTAAAACATAACCGTAATATTCTGAAAATTTTGCAGACCCTTGTGGAAGCAGAACAGTTTTGTTGAAAAATCTTTCGATTTCATTTAAATCTCTTGTTTCTCCCATTAAATGAAGAGTTCCGATTGCAGAAACAAGTGATTGAGCTTGGTGCGTATAGTCTTCCCATCCAGACTCATCATCAATGACGTCATGCATCCACGCTTTCGTTCTGTACAAATTCCACAAATATAAAAACGATTGTTTGATTTTTCTAAGTTTTTTATAGTCGGTATCACCAAATATTCCTGAATTACGTTGTGTAAAATCGTTTTGCAGCATTTGATCATAAAGTTCTTCAACAAATTGTTCACGTCGATCAGCACTTGATAATGTTAAGTACACTGGCTTCATAATAATTACAGATGCTATTGCAAATATTATGAATGCCCAAATTGATAAAATCAGTCTTCTAATCTTGATTTCCATAATTATTAACTTTTATTGTCAGTCTACATTTTTGCCACGTAAACCATTTTTATTCATTACTTTAACTAAGAATAATGAACATAGTCATAAGAATAAGAATGACATATCACTGCTTTCGAAGCCGAGGTAGTACTGATACGCCTGAAATATCTTGAATAATTGAACAAAAACAAAAATAAATTATCTATTTCATAATTATGCATCATATAAAGAAGTAACAATCAACATTTCTAGCCAGAGCGATTTTAAGCTTAATGGCAAAGTTTTGTTACAAATTTGATATAAACTCAATCAATTGAGAAGCAAGATACAAGTTCGGTTGTATTCCTACCTTAACGAATGCCTATTAGACACGTGTGGATTAATATATATATCATTATAGCTTATTCTATATATATATCGATATTTTTTACTTAAGAATTTATTCAATAACCTGCTGATTTCTTTAATAAACTACTTTCAGCAATTAAGTGTGACCAATTTTAATAGTTATGTTTGAAAGATCAACTTCATCAAAACAATTTGAATTAAGTCTCAGGACATGAGGAAGCTGACGTTTTATTCACATTAGAAAATGTGCTAATGATATGAGCCATCCAAAATGATATATCAGTTTGATTATGTTCTGAAAATCATCTTTTTTTTAATTTGCCAGTTTCATAACCCATCTAATATTCATTGTTAGTAATCAACAAATGGATTTTGCGGGTTATTTTCGAAAATAAAACCAAAATGGGGCGCGTAAAGGGTTGGCGTCCTAACGCGTCCTGATGTAAACTATTCAATTTTTGAGAAGTTTACACCATAATTGAATAGTTTATGGCGTCCTGAGAGGAGATTTCAATGGGTATGGCGTCCTAAAAAATAGAAGAAAATGATTTTTTCTCGATTTTTCTAGAAATTGAATTTTTTAAAAAAGAAAAAAATCAAAACGTATACATTCAAGAAAGACTATAAATGAAGATTTTTCTATTTTTTTTTCATTCTAAAACATCTTTTTTTGGATAATTTTTTTTAAATAAATATGTAAGAAAGATTGAAGAAAAAGTAAATTTACTTTCAGAAAATTCGTTTTACATGATGTAAGACCCATAACAACTATAAATATTCAATTATTTAAAATAAAAAAAGAAAAACAGATTAAATGGAGAAAGGGACAAACTATCCAGTGTCACTTTTCAAAGGAATAAAAAAATAATAAAGATGGGGAACAGGACAAATTTGCCACACGGCACTTTTTTTAAAAAATTTAATGGAGCGGAGCGATACTCTGCTGCAGGAGCCCCAAGGCTCCCAATCATTACGAAAGGGAGCCTCAGGGCTCCTGAGAATCCATCAGCAGAGGCCTTTTCATTTGGCCTCTGCTGATCAAAGATTCGGCGAAGCCATTCTTCGTCTCAGGAGCCCCAAGGCTCCCAATCATTACGAAAGGGAGCCTCAGGGCTCCTGAGAATCCATCAGTAGAGGCCTTTTCATTTGGCCTCTGCTGATCAAAGATTCGGCGAAGCCATTCTTCGTCTCAGGAGCCCCAAGGCTCCCAATCATTACGAAAGGGAGCCTCAGGGCTCCTGAGAATCCATCAGTAGAGGCCTTTTCATTTGGCCTCTGCTGATCAAAGATTCGGCGAAGCCATTCTTCGTCTCAGGAGCCCCAAGGCTCCCAATCATTACGAAAGGGAGCCTCAGGGCTCCTGAGAATCCATCAGCAGAGGCCTTTTCATTTGGCCTCTGCTGATCAAAGATTCGGCGAAGCCATTCTTCGTCTCAGGAGCCCCAAGGCTCCCAATCATTACGAAAGGGAGCCTCAGGGCTCCTGAGAAACCTCTTTGAGAAGGTTTTCTTAAAGAAAACCTTCTCAAAGATGATTGTCAGCATTCACTCAAAATCTACCAAGAGTTTCAAAGTTTCAAATCTATCTGAAATGAAGCTTTGAATCTCTTGTATATCTAATTGTAGAGGTACCTTTTCAAAATGTCTTCTATTGATTAAATTTAATCAGTAAAAGTCATTTTGAAAAGGTACCTCTCTATAATTGCTATTGAGCATTCACTCTTGGAACCTTGGAGCTCTTGTGTAGTGCATGAAAACTCCAAGATTCTAGCATAAAACATATATCATAGACATAATTTCTTCAAATATAATTTAAGGTTATTTTTTAAAAATTAGAAAAGCGTAATTTAAGGTTATTGAAAAAGTGACACCTGGCAAATTTGTCCCGCACTCGATTAAATGTATCTCACATCAAAATCCATTGACCTAAGGATGTTAAGTTTCTGTTTTTAAAAGTTGATATTTTTTTTTTAATTTTAAGAAAATTAATAGCATGTTATTAGACAATAGGAGTGTAATGATATTGACTAAACAGAAATGAGAGAATAGAGATATAATTTTGATAAGCAATATTGCAAACAAATTCTGAAGTAAAATCGCGATCAATAATTGAAAATTACGATCATGTACTGAAAAATGACGATCGAATTGAATGAATAGAATTATATCTAAGAAAAAATAAATTGTATTTAGAAGATGAACAAAGAAAGGTGTATGCTAAAAATCATTTAACAATAAATGGAAATAAAACGAAATTGTTAAAAGAAAAAAATGAAAATTGTTAAATAATATATTATTTTTTAGTCATAAGAATAAAAATATAGTAGTTATAAAAGGAATTAGACTTCATATATCAATTCTTTTTCTCTGTAGATGTGGAACGTTTGCTTTTCGATCTCTTTCGATGAACTTGAAAATATAAGTTATTATCGCTGAGAATCCTTTCCGAAATAGGAGCTTTACGTTTAGGAGGATTGTCGGATGAATTTTGTTTTTTATTGTTTGATTTTGTTGTTATGGAAGATTTTTTCTTATTTTTTTCAGAATTTTGCTTGCTATTAACTGAAACTTGTTTTGACGGCCCAACAATAGCATTTGTAGTAGGAAGAATTCCCAATAACGAGCGCATTTTCGATAATTGTTTTTCAATATGATCAAGAAGGTCCAGCTTATGTTCTAGATTACTAGACATTTGATTTGTAGAAGGATGGCTTTGATTTTCTGGTTCTAAATCTGTAGAGTCTGCAATATTTGAATTTTCGGAGCGAATTGGAGCATCTGAACCTTGATTTGTATCGGCTTGCTCAAAATTAGTTTGAATTGGAGTGGATGAATTAAAATCTGGATGATTTAATGTTTCATTAAATAATGCCATAATTTTTTCTCTTTTTTCATTAATAAACTTAGTGATCATTGTATCTTTATTTGTTAGATCGATCGATTTGAGTATATCTGCATCATGAACTGGAATATTTTCGAACAATGAACTCGATTCTATGGAACCATATGGAGAAATCTCGTTCTGAGCCAAAGAAAGATCACTTACGTTGTATTGTTTGATAGAAAAAATTGTTTTCTCAAGTTCTTTTTGAAAGCAGTCAAGAATATAATTTTTGTAGCTATCAGTGATAACGGTTTTTATATGGCGCTCGATCTTCTGGTTATTTTTGATGGCGTTATATTTATCTAATTGGATTTGAGATATCTTCTTAATAGCTTCATAAATGTTTGGAGGGTCATTATTGATTTTGTAATTTAATCGTCATCGTTATCGATTTTGTAATTTAATCGTTATCGTCTTTTTCTAAACGTGCATTTTTTGCTTTCGGAGCTATTGAACATACATTGGCCCTTACCAGCAATTGAAAACTATTTTTCATTATCAACAATTACATTACTCCGAGTTATTCATCAATCAATGAAAATCGATATATAGTCCATACTTCAATTTACAATATTGGCAAGTCCAATTTCACTTGGCATATTTAACTCATATAGAAAAACCAGTTGGAATCGGCAAAATTATCTTTAATTCCATACATAAGAAAAAAAAATTATAAAGTTCTTTAATAATAGCAAACTAATAGTTTAAATAGATTTACAAGTATCGCCCATCTACTTTTGATATAATTCACATATTAAATGTAGAAAACTGGTTTAAAATAAATATTTCAAAAGTTCGAAAACGATTTATGAAAAAATAACGTGATGACATTTACTAAATTTGCTCTGTATTAAAGTATCGATGATAGAAAGAGCATATTTTGTAAATATTTCAAAAATATTTAAAAATCGGAGAAATTGTATTGTAATGTACTATAATTATGTTACAAATCCGATTCAATACTAATCCTTCGCTATTGAAGTTGTTTTGAGAAGGATATTCTCTAAATTCTTGATAAATCTTTAAAATCTAGAGTAATCGTTTTGTAAACTTAACAAAACTAAAATGTATACCAATAGATTGGCATTTTCTACGTTTTCAAAGTGAGAGAGTGTAAATTCTTTTTTTTTATCCTATTAAGGGTATAGTCCACTAAAAATTTTTAAGTTTTGACAATGAAAATAAGCTCTGTGACCATGTAAATATATATCTATGCAAAACGAGAGGTTATGCCATAATTTTTTTTAGTTATCAAATTTTCCTTTTTTTGAGAGAAGTCTCTCAATAATTTGAGAAGAATCTTTGATATAAAGAGATACACATTTGTAGAACGAAGTAAGTGTTTTCCAAACATGTTCTTAAAAATAAATAAAATAATACAAATCTTTATTCAATCTTTTGATACTGTTGGTCCTCTCTTTGTGAAAATACTTAACTTCAAAGAGTATTATGTTTTACCTAGTGAGGACCTTAAGTTTGCAAAAACATAATAAAAGTAAAATAAAAAAGATCGGATTTATCACAAAACTTTGAGTATTATAGGATTTAATATATTTTCTTAGTAGATTATATGATTTAGTTTCTTAAAATCTAAAGTATTTCTTGAGGAAAATATAAATTGAAATTCAAAAAGTAAAAAAAATGTAAACAAATCAAATTTTAAATGGACCAAATGTTGATTTTTCATTCGTTTTCTCATTATCGAAAAAAATTTGGAAAGCTAAGAAGTCAATAACAAGTTATATAATACAACAAAAACCACATCGGATATGTTTTCATCAAATAGTCTCCTAGATTTGTTATGAAATTAAAATATCATGATATTTTAAGGGCTTTTGATTTCAATATTAGAATTATTCAGTTATGTCGTGCTAATATCAATTGCTTTATACAATTAATCGTTTACAAGCTGCAAAAATCGAACAATAATTTGACTTTGTAAAAAAAGTGCGTCATTTTTATTCGTTATACTTACAAAATGTAAACATTACGAGAAACATTTACATTTGTAAATGTAACAAGTAAAGTTGTCTCGCATAATTTGACTTTGTAAAAAAAGTGCGTCATTTTTATTCGTTATACTTACAAAATGTAAACATTACGAGAAACATTTACATTTGTAAATGTAACAAGTAAATACATCAGATTTAAATTGTAAATGTAGTTTATCTCTCTCATCTCCTTTTTAAAAGGTATTACATACATACGAACGCATGGGTCACTCAATAATTAGCGTGATAATAATTGAGGATAGACTGTAATCGTAATTTTATTTTTGGACTTATATTTCGACATTTTGAAGTCGCTTGAAAGTCTTGCAAATGATTAAATTTGGAAAATTTGACCTAAGTCTGCATTATTTTGATGACTTAAACAATTCTATAAATCTGTTTTCCTAAAAATTTAAAAAGATATAATTTCAATTTCCCTAAATTTATGTAATTCATATATCACCAAAATATTTGGACTGCATTTCGTTTGTCTGCACCTAATTAAAGTCTAAATACCAATTAATTTTGGAGTTGCATTGCTTTTAATGTAAAAATGCACGTTTAGAAAAAGACGATAACGATTAAATTACAAAATCGATAACGACGACGATTAAATTACAAAATCGATAACCTCTCAACTAACTCAACTAGTCAAGCATAATGATTATTCTTCGGATTCATTAAATCAACTTTATCAATGCATAAGTACAATGACAGAAAGATCAATTGGATGCTTGAATTGGGATAAATTTTTCAAAAAAATCACAGTGACTGATGAAGTTCTTTTACATTTTTTAGCATCCGTTTTAAACATTGAAAAGATATCAGAATGTTTCAAGGATTCTATTTTTTATCACAATATTAATCTTGAAAAATTCAGTAATTTAACTGAAACAGAACAACAAACAATTTTAAATTCCTACAAAGCGGATAAATTTACATATTACATAATGTGCTCACAAATTGTAAAATCAAACTGGAACAATTTATCCCAAACTTTAGTTAATATTGCAAATCAATATTTGCCATTTTTAGATGAAGAAAAGCAAATATATATATTTACTGAAATAACTGGCAATTATCAAAATTTTGAAATTTCAGTTGCAAACTTGTTACTTTTTTATGAAAACAATGAAGAAAAATTAAGCAACTGTTTTAATTTAACATTGTTCCAGCAAATTTATTCCAAAAATGGAATCGAGCAAATGATATTTTTTGCTGCAAATACAATTTGTTGCAATAACACTTCTATCAATTTTTACAATCTCCTTGAAATTGAAGAAATGAATCCATTTGATTTTTTTTATTTCTCAATTCAATATAAAGAGATATTAAATTGCGATGATTTTCCAAAAGTTACAGAAGTAATCACAGGTTTAATCTCAGCTTCAAATATTAATGCTATTATGCGAATTTGCCAAAAAATTTTGGATAAAATTACATTTTATAAATGTAATTATTGCCATATTACCTCAATATGGAATTTTATCACAAATGCAGCAATAATTCTTCCTGATGAAGATTTATTAATCAAATTATTAAAATTCATAGAAAAAACAGAAAAAGCAACAGATGAATTATTCGAACCGGAGAATGATTTGGGTTTCTATGAATATTTAAATTCGATTTTCTCAGATATTACATCTGCGAGAAATAAGCAATTTCTCTTGGAATTTCTAAATACCCATGAAGATGACTTCACTTATGATCAAACATTGTGAGGTCATTTTTGATCAACAAATTAATTGAAATTCCGATCAAAAAAAAATTCACAAATTGGATCAAAAAAATCGAATCTCAAGTTCAAAATAAAAAATTTCTACATTTTTATCAAATTTAGATTTTTTTTTCAAATCATGCGAATTGATTGAATAATTGCATATTTTATCCCATGCATCTAGAAGTATGTGTAATATTTTTGCTTTCATCAAGAAATTGTCGAATTTGATCTTAATTTTTTTTGAAAAATATACTTTTAGAAAAAGAAATAGTGATTGAATAGCTGCCCATGCTGTAAAAAGGTTATTTTTACAAGTAAAAAAAATTGTTATTTTTCGAGCAAGTCGAGGCTTTTTTACCATCTCATTTTTGAAAAATTTACGAAAAATTATATCTGAAAAAACGCTTCATTTTGATATCTTACAATGATAAAATACCAATGTTGCTGGGATATAATAGCTACACCTGGACATCTACTACATTAATGCGTATGACAGGTAAAGTTGATTTCAAAAGTATAGCCTGGAAAGATTACAATAAATCAACGATAATTCAAAAAAATTTCTTATAAGTTAACATAATAAAAATTTAATTTTTATATTTCTTGTAGTATACTTAAGTATATAATATATTTAAATCTTAGAATGAAAATTCGGGACGCCCTAGCTATTCAATTTTCCCTTAGGACGCCCATAAACCTCTCAAAAATGTGATGTAAATATCACAATTTTGAGAAATTTACACTAGGACGCCTTAGGACGCCAACCCCCTTTTTTACCACCAAAATGAAATCTAAACTCTAAATTTTTGGAAGAAATTAGCTAAATTTCACGAATCTCTCTTGAAAATTGCTAAACACAATCTTTATGCTATTTATTTTTTGATTTGGCTTATTTGACAATTATCGAAGTGAATTATCGGATTTATCGTCGATTTCATCAGAATGTTAATATAAATATAAATATAAATATGAAAATTTATTTCAAAACCTTTTTAAAAATTTTCTGGCGATTGAATTGATATGTCGGCTACATTCAATTATAATTTTTAATCATGGCCTGCTGTGCCAATTTCACTCTTTTCTTAATCTCATTCCTTTCCATCGGCGTTATTGTTGCCGGGGCTTCATTCACAATCTACTTCATAGTTCATTATAAAATCAAAGAAATCACAGATAATAACACAATTTTAATTTACATCATTATCATTCTTGTTGCTTCAGCTTTCATTCTTGTATTCGCCATTTATGCATCGATTGCCAACGCTCGTTGCCCATCTTTCATCCTTGGCTTCATTCTCTTAGTCTACGCTGCTGCTGTTATTGGCGCAATTGTCCTCTATATCATGTTCAATTCCAAGGTTTGGGATACAATGCGTGAGAACTGGAAAAAGTACGAAGGAAAGAATGATACTGCAATTGGTAAAGCCATTGAAGAAATTGAAGGTGTTCTTCACTGCAAGCACTGGGATGATAGCAATGGCTCCTGCAAGACATTAATCGAAGACAAAGTCAAGAAGTTTGCCATTGCCATCTACGTTGTCTTCGGCTTAATTGCTCTTCTTCTCTTGTTCGCCTCAGGCCTTGCATTCTATAAGGTTTGCAGATCTGATTCTACTATCAGCAATGATAGTAAGGCTCCAATGGAGCAGCCATTATCTTATGGCTGGTAATTCTTAATAAACTTATATTTTATTTTTAATTAGTCGTCTCCTTTTTAATCAACATACTTGTCCTTCAATAATTTATTTTTTTGTAATGGTGCTGCACGCCGATAATTATGAAGTATTCAATATGAAGAGCAGTTCCTCCATAATTATCCTTTTCATTAATATTTGCATCATATGAAATTAACTTCCCCATTCCAATCCATCGGACTTGACTGGATAAATTCCATTTTCTTAATTACCATCTAGAAAATGATCAAAAATTCATTAGTATATATATGGAATCTCTGTGACCATTTCCAAATGGTGATCATTACATAGAAGATTAGCAATTTCCAAGTAAGACATTGCGAATAATTTCTGAAATGAGAGCATTTATAGGAATTGTTTGGTTGAATCAATGAAACCTCATTAATAGATTATATGATTACATTATCTCATCTCGAACTAAATTTCATAGTAAACATTGACTCCAATTTGACAAAAAATTAAGCAAAGCACAAAATTCAATGAATTTTGTGTTTATCACACAAATTGATGCTTATTCATCTATATTTTATCCAAGATTGTTAATTTTCATTAAATTTGTCACTTTTTAGATGAGCTTTGCTATCTCAGAGGTACTTTCGCCTACGAGCATAACAACAGCAGCTCTTATACCACAATTTAGTCCAAATGGTGATGTTCTAGCTGCTGCTCGAGGAAATAGACTATATTTATACCCAATTGAAAACGATCTTCTCGGAACTCCACAAATTGTCAAATTATACGGAACAATTCACAAAATTATTCCATTAAGTTCATCTATGGTATCAAACATTTTAGTAATATTAACAGATTTACGATCCTGCATCTTAAATTGTGATGATGATGGAAATATCCACACAGTTTCTGCTGGTAATTTAACACCATCACCACCATGTCTTCCACTTGATGAAATAAAATACGCAGTGATCCCTTCAGCTTTAGTTATCAAGTTTCATAGTAACGATCTCACAGTCTATCCAATTACTTCAGAGTGTGAAATTGGCGCACCATTCCCAATAACAATTTCCTGCAAATCTATCGTCGATTTTGTTTTCATTGGTCCAATTTCCCGCGTTACTCGTCTTGCAGTCTTAACAGAAGAATATCACGACAATCCAAAACTTCATCTCTTCGAAATCGATCTTACAAACAATTTAGGAACCGAAGATATCAACCAAACCATTTCATTACCAGAAGATACTTATATGATCTTCCCATATTTACCAGAAACTCACTCCGTTGTTATGAGCTTCTCAAGTCTCAAGGCAATCTCAGTGACATACGCCTCTGGTTTGCCTCCTAAACCGCAGAGTTATACAATATTTACTCCAAACAAGCTTGCTTGGTTTGCACAGATGAAAGAGAACTTCTACGCGTTCATTGATGATAAAGGAACCATCAGAGTTTCAGAAATTTCCGAAGATAATATGTTACGATTTACAGATCTCGGCAAAGCACCGATCCCATCATCAGTAGTTGCCGTCACAGGTTCTCTCCTGTTCGTTGCCGCCAAGGCCGGACCAGCGCATCTCTTCGAAGTCCAACACACGAAGCTAGAAAAGAAGATGATCATTGACAACTCAGATTCTGTGAGGGAATTCACCGGGGAAACAATTCTCTTCCAATCCGCAATCGCTAAAGCAGAGCGCCAGATCAAACTGAAACCTTCATTCATACTCCAAATGAAAGGAATAACAAATATCTGGTCAAAACAAAACGATGAATCAGATTCAATAGTTCTATCGTCTCCTTCTCAATCTTACTTCCTCGAGGGAAGTGACGGTGTTTACGAGGAAAAAGAAGAAGAAAAGTTTACAAAGGATGAAACAACAATTTACTTCTCTTTTGAGCCGGTTATGATACAAGTAACTCCTTCAAAGGCTATATTTGGTAATACAAAAATTGAGGGAGATTTTATCGGCGCGAATTCTGACAATCAACGATTAATTTTGATTCAATCTGATTCTGCTTCTGTTTACGACTTAAATGATGATAAAGAGCTCCACAAATTCGATGGAATCTTCACTGCAGCAGCTTTCGGAGATGACGGTTGTCTATTGTTGGCAAATCTTGACAGAGTAACCGTTTTTGACAGAAAATTCAATGAAATCAACTCGTTTTCACTGATTTCCCCTGTCGTCAGTCTCTTCATGAAGCATAAAACTGTTTACGCAGCTCATGCTCAAAAAGGTGTGACACTTTTTGCTAATAACCGTTGTCACTTTTTCAATGTTGACGGATTTCATTCTGTCATCAAAGAAATCAACGGCAAAGTTGTTGTTTTCGGAGAGAACCCTGTATGTTTCGACGGCGGAAAACTCAAACATTATGGAAGTCCAAGAACGATAGATGGCACGTTTTTAGGTGACCAAATAATTGTTCTTTCTCGTGATGGATTGACATTCTGTCAAGAACAGCGTGAATCCTTCCAAGTCACAACATTTTCTGATGAGAAAATGCCAATGATGTTCAGACAAATAAATGGCGGTTATGTTTATGCCATTTCTGACATGATTTACGCGTCAAAAGATTTTATTTCTGCCAGAAAAACATTTTTGAATCCGGACAACGGCAAAATCTTCAAACTCGAATCAGACGTTGTTTTCATGGAGTTTGTTGAAGGTGTTTTAGTTGTCCTGACAAAAAGAAACATCCACCTGTTTATTGCGGACTCCCCCTCATCAATTTATGAATGCAATGTCCACAAGAATCATCAGGACGGAATATCACTTGGTGTTTACAAGAACCAGCTCTATGTTATTTATCTTCATTCTGTTAAGTTCTATCATGTCGAGAGAACTATTAATGGCGTTGAATTTGCTGATTCTGGCACACCAAGATTGGATAATCATCAAGCAATTGTTTGTGGAAATTGTGGCTCAAATCTCTTTGTTTTTGGCGATGAAGATGGAAGAATAAGAATTTTCGCAGGCAATGAAATGAAAGAGATTGCGAATGGAACAATTTCGCACAAGATCTCTAAGATTTCTGTTCTTGGTGATTCTGTTTTGGTTGGAACAAGTTATGGTGAAATTATCGCTGTCTCTCCAATGAACGACAGTGCGAAACAAGTCAAGATTGAAAGCGCTTCTTCTTTGTCGGCAGGATTCCCAATCACAGCCATTTCAAAGGAATACGATGGCTATTTGTTGGTTGGAAATCAGCTTGGACAAGTGTTTAAGGTAACAAAGAGATCTCATCCAAGAGGTTTCTCTGATGTTTACCAGGTGATCGAACAGAAAGTTTTCTCTGAAGGTCACCTCAATAAGATGTTAGAAAGGTCTGTAATGTTTAAGAGATATATATTGAGATCTGAGAGATTCGTGGATATGGATTTGATCAACGACTTCTTAGAAATGTCGCCTGAACAACAACAAAGTATTCTAGAATCTCAGATAAATAGAGATGATGCTTTGGCTACTTTACTTCTTTATTAAAAAATAAAACTTATTAATATTTTAATATCCTTGAATTATTCTTAGTTTGCTCTAAACTTGAAATCATTATCTTCGCGTCTATCTGTCAAAATATGATGGAATTGTAAAGTTTAAAGATGAAGAATTTCTCGAATTTGAAAAATCATGTTAAGAAGGAATTTACTTTTTATGATGTTATATAATTAAAATATAAGTTAAATCTTCAGAACTACAATCAATGATTAAAAATTTTAAAAAAATCCAATAAATAGTACCATGCTTTGGTAGATTATGGTTTATTTTAAGCAATTAAGACGACAATATAATCCATTCTGTATAAATCCTATTTCAAGTCGTAAAAAGCAAATTTGTCAGCAGTTAATGCCTTATTTTGCAACTGTTTAAGGTCATGGGAGATACTAGAAATCTTATTGTTACATGCTAAGTTCGGTCAACGATAGAAATTGAGTGGAAATTAATCGTCGAGGAAGTACGATTATGTAAAGTAAAAAAATGTTGTGGGATTTTTAATATTATATATTATTTTATAATAAAATTTTTTTGAGTCATTTTAAGAAGCACATATAATTTTTTGAATTTAAAAATTAAAGTAGTGTCAAACGAATTTATCACTTAATTTAATACTCAGGTTTCTTAAAATTAATGAAAAAAAGGTTTTCTGAGAACTTTTGAGAATGGTTTTCAAATTCCATTATTGAAAAAATATAGGTATTGTATGAAATTCAAACTCTATATTTATTAAAATTCTAAATTTTTAATAAAATAACTTTTCAGAGGAATATGATTTTGAATGGTTGATTAATAAGTATAAAAATGTCTACGATTTTAAGGAGGGAATTGTTCCTTATGAGGTATACATCATAACTATATACCTCATAAGGAACAATTCCCTCTTGATAGCTGGGAAACTTTCTCTGAATAACTTAAGTAGTAGGATATGACGGGTTTAGTGACTTTTTTTGTTACATCTATATATAGACGATGCATTAAAATATATTTATTTATAAATCATTAAAAAATTAACATTAATTTTAAAATAATTTATTTTTTTATCTTTTATAAAAGAAGCTATATATAGATGATGTCAGATATTCCGCGATTAATTAAACATTGTTTAAATCCTGAATGGGTTAAACTTCAATTTAAAAATGAAGATTGTGAATTATTAAATGAATATGAAAGCCAAAATAAGCTAATGAGGTATAAATATAATGATAAAGAATATTTAATTTCATGGAATCAATGGAGTCATAATCAAAGACCTCATAAACGAGAAGAAGAAATTGAAAATAATGAAATGGAAATCATTGATGACATTAAAGAGGATGGAATTCCTAAATTTTGTAGAAAAACCTTTAGAACTAAGTTAGGAGCATATAAACGTAGAGTATTAAATCCTGAATATCTTAAACATCAATTTAAAAAGGAAGACTGTGAATTATTAAACGCTAATGAATATGAAAATGCTAAATCAAAACTGAGATATAAATATATTGGAAGTGATGAAAGGTGTAAAGATAAAGATAAAGTTTATTCAGTTTCATATAATAACTGGCACACGTTAGGGATAAGAAAACATTTAGGAGATTATGGTAAAAGTTCCGAATTCTTCAAATCTAGTATGTACGAGAGAATAAAAGAAATTAGAAATAATTATTTTCATGAATGAAAGATTCACTACCATAATGAAATAAAAAAATTTTTCAAAAATCAACTTTAAAAATTCACGTCTTACATTTTTGAATAATTTATTTTTTTAATTCGTAAGAAATGAGTGAATCAAAATTCGTGACTGTGAATCAATTAATGGATAAACTTTCACCAATTCTCACCCAGGTTAAACAAGTAGACGTTTATTTTGATGATTACATACAAAGTTTATTTTATAAAGGTAAGTTTAATATTAAACCTATTGCTTTTGCATTTGATGGTAAATTAATCGAAAATTCAAAAAATTGGGAATTAATTCCGGATATTGAATTTATAACAAATATTAAGGATAAATGGTTTAAACAACAAAACCACCTCACTAAAGTTCTTTGTAGATTAATGATTAAAACTGAGGAAAAAGAATTTAACGGGTTTAAATATCATCCATGTAAAATTTTAGAACTTGGTAACGAAAAACTTCAGAAAAAATTAAATGAAAGACTATCAAAAGATAAAGTTGAAAGAGTAAATAAACTCGCTAATGGTAATGGTAATGATGAAGATGAATTTGATGAGTTCAACATAGAACTTTAAGAAACTAATGATTATTTGAATTTATGAAATCAATTATTTGATTCATTCTTTCTTCAATCTCTTCTATTCTTTTTGTTAAATCATCAATTTTCATTAATGAGGTGATTCTTGATTGAGGAATAGATTTCAAACTAACCACTCCTTTTATTTTTGAAATTTTGAATCCATCAACTTTAAACATTTTATTCAATTTACATGTTGTCAATTCTTCAAATAATTTTTTATTATTAGCATAATAGTCATTAAATTCTTCAACAGATGAAAAAATTTTTATTTCAGTAATTGGTTTAACAACGTTTATTTTTTGTTGAACATTTTCACTTTCATTTATTTCTTCCTCCTCTGTTTCATTTATTTTTAAAATCGGTTTCATTTATCATTAAATAAAAATTAGAATATAAGTGATGAAATATATTTTTTAATTAATATTAAATCAGAAATGGCGGCAGGATTCTTTAAAAAATTATGGGATGGAATTAAGAAAGCTGCGGGTTGGGTTTATAAAAAGATTATTAAACCCATTGCAAACTTTTTGGCACCAGTAGCGAAAACGGCAGGAACTATCATAGGTGGAGTATTAGGTACTAAAGCAGGTAATCCGGCGATGGGAGCACAAGCAGGTAACGCAATTGGTGGAATAGCTGAAGGAATACTTAATAAAATAGGAGGTAGATAGTGGAAAAATAAATAAATATTATTTTTATCTTAGTATCGGTTGAAGTCTTTGATAAACTTTTTCTCCTTTATTTAATATTTCTCTTATTGGGGCAGCTTTTGGTGTTATTGATTCAGCAACGTCACTAATTGCTTCTTTATTCTTAAATATCCAATTTGCTCCTTTCTTCATTGTTTCCCAAACTTTATGCGCTCCTCTTTTTACTTTATCCCACAGTTTCTTAAATATACCTGCAGCCATAGTTGATTATTTCATTAAAATTAAAAATTCATTTTCATCTTTTAATTTTGATTTTTTATTTATTAATAAATGACGACTAACTATTTGGTGCCAAACACTAAACCGATTAATGGAAATGTGTTTCATTCATTTGAAAAGATAAATGAAATATTCGCAAAGAATGACGGTAGAAGATATTATAGAGAACTTGAAAGTTCATGCTATGACTCTGATGCTCCATATTTTGATGATAAACAAACTCATTTAAGAATTACAAATCCGGCTCATGATGTGAACCAATTAGGTGACACATATATTAACCGCAAAGTTAAAGCAACTCTAGTTTCAAATAAAGCTTTCACATGTGATGCCGCTTTTAAATGCATACGTTTATTCGTTGGTTATCTTCAGATGGATTGCGCCCGTGAATCTTTCGCATTTGCAACATATAAACCAAAATCAGAAAGGAAAGTTAAAAAGTTTGTTCATTCGTTATATAATAATGTTCAAAAATATGATAACTCAGTATGCGGTAAATATATTGACCCTTCAGAAGTTTTCAAGAACGCAAATGAAGAAGTTGATATCACTTTTGATATGATTATTCCAGTAAATGATTTGTTAGCATTTCAGGCGTTCGATGATTATCCTAAATCATTTGGTGATATCATTCTTAAATATTATGTTTTCAGGGATACTTTAGTATTTTGTCAGGTTGACCCGTTAAGAGTTGCTGATTTACAAAATTACGTTTATGAAAAGATAACTGATGAAAATTATGAAAAGATTATGAATCATGTTTATAAATATGATCGCAAATTCCAACAAATCGGACTTCCTGCCAAATTAATTACAAGCTTAGCCGCTACATCTGCTGACGCAACAGTTGATGACGTTATTATTTCATGCACAAAGATGGAAGTTTTAGAGGATAAATGCATTACACCAGGATACGGTTTAATTGAAGAATCAGTTAAAGCAATACCACGTTTATTCAGTAAGGAAGATCCATTCATGATTCCAGCTCAACATATTGACGTTCGTTCACTAAATGGAGGTTGCATCACTCCTGAAGGTATTAGCTCAGATTTCTCATATGCTCTTCATAATGTTACAGATGATTATAAGAATGCAATTAATGAATATATTCGGTCTATTAATTTCGATGAAAATGCTAAAAATCAACTTCATGAACAAATACAGGGAATAATAGATTCAAAAGTTCCAGCAAAATAAAAGTTTAAATATATTTTTTTTATTCGATTATAAATGAGAAGACGTTTCACTAGTCAAAAGAACACTAACGCAAAAGCAGAGATTACGGTTGGTTATAACGTAAATGATGATAAATCACGAATTATTCAAAATGTTAAAGTTAATGTTAGCCCTGAATTAACAAGGTCAGCAACTCAACCAAATTTATTAACTCGTGACTTACCGAAAAGGAGGAGGAGCAAAATAAAGAAGATGGAGACCCAATCATTTTATCTGAACCTGGTAAAGAACCTGTTGAAATTCCCACTTATCCAACATACCCCCCACCTCTTTCATCAAACATCGAGAACCCATATAAAATGACATTAATTCTGAATTAATGAAAATTTACCGTGATATAATAATTAATAATATGATTCAATAATAAATTTAATTGACCAATCCGGTTTAATTATTTTACCTTATGAATCATTAATTCACATTATCGCCATTCTTTGTGATGTTCAAGATTCAGACGTTAAGATTCAATTTTTCATAGATGATGAGGTTTCATGCTGCGGAACAGTTGCAAAAATAAATCCTATAAAGGATATTAGCACAATTAAGATATCAAAGAACGGAACAACAACTGAACTTCATTTAACATATAATGATATTTATAATAAAATAGTTGATGAATATAAAATATCACTTGAAAAATTCTTTGTTAAGGCTATTTAATATTCAAGCATTAACATTATCGAATGATAATCCTTTGAATCATAATCAATAATAATTGACCTTTCACCAGTTTCTATCGTTTGTTTTATTTCTTTTTGTTCCCCACTATCCGGATCGGTCATTGTAATTGTTTTTGTTATAGTATCAGCTTTATCTTTAACTTCAATCTTTTTTCCATCGGGATATTTAAACCAAAATTCCAAAAATTCGATATTGTCAATCTGTTCATATTTTAATCTATCAATTACATTTTTAATACCATCTGAAAATCTTATGAAATGGTCATTATATGGGTTTGATTGAACTAAATTTGAATGAAGTGAAATATAACCTGTTGATGAATATGACACCGACTCATATTTTCTGAAAACACTAAAATTTATAACATGAATGAATTTCTTATTCGTTGAATTTATGAATTCTTGAGGTAATCTTATTCTAGTTTTATTTATCACTGGAAAATAACGCTTTACCATATTTTTAATCGTAATAAAAATGTCAATTATCAATATTATTTCGAATAATAGCTGTGAATTAAATTAACAGTTTGCGGAATTTATAATGTTACTCTCGTTTCTGTGAGTGGTAAATTTAATCCCATTCTTTTAGACCCTTCAGATTATATATCATTTATTAAAGATGACCTTGAAAAAACGTATGATATGTATATAAATAATGTGATAGTGAAATGGGATATTAACATGATTTTAAGTTATTTAAATGAATCATTTATCGTATGGTATGAAGAAAATTTTAAATCAAAACCCGATAAACTTTTTGAACTTGATGAAATAAATAACCTTATTAAATTCCCGCTGAAAATTAAATTTTGTACTCCTCATCTTCGTTCATTGTTGGGGATATTAAATTTTGAAAAGATGTTGGGGATGTTTGTATTCTGACACTGGTTCCAATTTCATTTTAATCAAATGTGATAAAGTTAATACCCCAATGAGATTTTCACATCAAACATTAGACCCTAACTCTTACCCATCAATACAAAACATTTTATCCATCAACTTAAACACATTTTCTTTATCATATCCGTTTCAATTATCCGGGAATTCATTTATTCTTCATTCAAAAGATTTATCAAATATTAAATTTAGAATAACTGACCTATTTGATTGTGATTTAGAATTCATGAATGAAATATTATGGCAATTTCAAATAGAAAAAATAGGTGATGAGATAACGATTAAATATTTATTTTTAAATCATAATAAATGATTAAACAACAGCAACCACAACAACTTAAGGCGCAAAGCACCCAGGTCCCTCAGACCATTACATACGCCATATATGCATATAATTCAAAGACGGCAGAACAAACGCAAAGGTTGAAATATGGAGATTTGGAGGATAGTATTGAAAAATGAACATTTCGAATTCGTTTGCAAAGGTGGTGCAGTGATATCAAATATAAAAGAAATTTATTTATGAATTCTAAAATTAAAGGTATATAACGGATGATATAACATCAATTCCACCAGAAGAACAGAGATATTACGCATTAAATGCATTTCCTAAAGTTTTGAAGATTGGAAGATTTAATTTAAATGAGGAATTCATAGAAGGTTTCCTAAATGACATAATGAAGAGGGTGGATAAGGAATATGTGGATAGTGAGTTAAATAAGAAGGCAAATTTGGTTTATGTTGATGAAAAAGATAATGAAATTAAAGAAAAGGTTGAATGGTATCATGAATGGACATCGGAGACTTTTAAAGTTAAAGCTGATACAGGATGGGTTTCAGGATGTTTAGACCTTAAAGCAGATAAACCATACACATAACTTCTTCTCAACTGTTGCTATAGAAAGTATTGAAGGAACGTTGACGGAACTGATGGGGATGCATTATATTATAATCCTCCTAACTTTCCACAAGGTTTAACATCGAATGAAAACATAACAACGATGAAAAAAAATTAGATGTAAAAATGTTTATGTCATGGATGATAAATAAAGTTAAATTCACTGCTCAAGATTTATATGATAAGAAAAGCAGACAAAACAGAGCTTCAAACAATTAAAGACTGAAATTCTTCAAACATTATATCCTGTTGGTTCTATTTATACATCAATGAAACTCAACAAATCCATCAACAGTTTTAGGTTTTGGTATGTGGAAGCAGATTGTAGATAAATTCTTATACTGTGCTAGATATTCAAAGCAAACAGGAGGTTCGAAGAAAATTAAAGAAGCAAACCTTCCACCGCACACTCATACAGGAACTACAAACACAACAGGTAATCATTCACATTCAATAACAAAAAGAGGTTATACAAATCTTGCAGCGGGTTCGGATAGATGGGGAATGAATAGATATGATATCACAACTGACCAGTAGATTCAAGCACAGGTATTTTCTGTGGAACCGCAGGAAATCATTCACACACTTTCACAACAAATCCAACAGGCTCGGGTAAAGATTACATGCCACCATTTGTGACTGTATTCGCATGGTACCGCGTTCATTGAATGTGCTTGAGCTCCAAAAATGAGACAACATGACATTTTGACAACACAGCAGGATTAATGTTTAGGGTAGATGGTTAGATCTAACCTCATTTCTAACCTCATGATTTACAAACGTTTAACGTGATATACGTTATGAATTTTCATGAATTTTATCGTTAATGTTTTCGTTAAGTGACTCAAAGAGTCCGGAGACAAAGTCTCATGGTTTCAGGTTATTCAATAATTAATTATTTTTGAAGAACTGAAGGTGTCACCAGGTCACCAGGTTATTTAACTTCTCTGAAAAAATGAGACAACATGACATTTAGACAACAACACAGCAGGATTAAGGAGGAAGGCAGTTATGAAGTATTTTTGAATAACTGAAGGTGTCACCAGGTCACCAGGTCACCAGGTTATTTAACTTCTCTGAAAAAATGAGACAACATGACATTTAGACAACAACACAGCAGGATTAAGGAGGAAGGCAGTTATGAAGTATTTTTGAATAACTGAAGGTGTCACCAGGTCACCAGGTCACCAGGTTATTTAACTTCTCTGAAAAAATGAGACAACATGACATTTAGACAACAACACAGGAAATTTGATGCAGTCCAAAAATAAAGTTAGTTTTAAAATTATTTTTATTTTTTTATTCCTATATAAATGACAGCAACAAACAACAACAGCAACTATATCATTTCTGATGAAAAAGTTATTGATTCATTAGCTGAGGAATTAGTTGTGGCAGAAACTAAAACCCTCAACGAAAGAATTGGTGAAAACAAGATTGATTTACATAACTACCTCAAACATGATGGAGGAAGAGGAAGGAAAACTGGTATGGCTTTATTAGTAAATAAAATTTCAAATTTAACGATTATAGATGTTGATATCAATAAATCGTACAATGATGAACTTAAAGAAACAGTTAGAAAAGATATTTTATCAAAACTTTCGGATAAAGATGTTATCGTTAAAACCGCTTCAGGAGGTCTTCACATTTATTGCAACACTAATTTCTTCTATTCAACCTCGAACAGAATGATTAAATGTTATTCCTGAAATGATTATGATATTGACATAATGACTTCTATTGATGATTCAAAGCGTTCTTTAGTAGTTATGGCTGATTCAAGAGTTCGAAAGAATGCATCAGAACCAATCAATACATACTCATTCATTCGTGGAAGTTACGATTCAACATTAACCAGAACAGTGAATGATATATTAAATGATTTGAATATTAAGGTAAGAGTTGAACAAAAGAACGAAGAAATAAAGACTATCATGAATGAAAACAAAGATGTAAACATTGACGATAAACTTGCCCAGAGCATAGTTGATGGCATCTGTGATTTTGAAGTACATAATGACGGTGGAAACATGAATTTAGAAAAAGAAATAACATTATTCACACTGTTTCAAGCTATTAATTCGTTACCTAATCATTTGATTAATGAAGCATACGATAACGTTTATAACTTCTGCAATTTAACTGAAAATGCAAAAAGTAATTTTGAAAAAGCACGTAGTAGATATGCACATTTAATGACTTCTCCATTTGTTTTAGTGAAGATTCTAAAACTATATCAAAAGAAATATTATGATGAATACGTTTTGCCTTTATTACGTAAGCCAAAAATAACATTTGATATCAAACTTGATGACTCGTTTTTGATAACAGATATTAGACGCAGGGCTGAAAATCATCAGTATAAAAACAGTTCTGAAGTAATTGAGGATTTATCACGTGTAATCCGTTTTGTAGATTGTGGAAACAAATATTTCATTCAGAAAGATTACAACATACACGACAAAATGAATCAAATATCATTCGTTCTTCAATCAAACATGAAAGAGTCACTCAAAATGATTAAATTATTTAAAGAAGAAGGTAAAACCATAACAGCATGGGACGTACTACTAAATCAATTGTCTTCATTAACCGTTAAGGGTGTTTGCTTTAAATCTGATTCTCCAGATGTTTTCTCAACGTTTCAAGGTTATAAATACAACGTTCTCGAAAAGCCAGATTACTCAAAAATTGAGATGTTTATGAATTTCATTAAAGAAGCCATTTGTGATAATAACGATGAAGTGTATAAATACCTTCTCGGCTGGATTGCATCAATGATTCAACATCCTGGAATCAAGAATGAAACAGCAATTATTTTGAAAGGACTTCAGGGAACAGGTAAAAACAGATTCACAGACATTATTTCTGAACTTCTCGCTGGTTATTCATGTAAAAACATTACTGAAATAAGTGAGCTAACGGGTAATTTCAACTCAGTAGTTGAAAATAAAATGTTTCTTGTACTTAATGAACTCAAGAATGTGGGTGAAGACAGACTCGCAAACTTCAACGCTTTGAAATCAATTATAACGGATAATGAGATTAGAATTAATGAAAAGAATCAACCCAGAAGAACTGCTCAGAATGTTGCCAATTTCATTTTCGTAACTAACAACGTCTACCCTGTCAAAATTGAAGTTGGAGACAGAAGATACGTAGTTTTAAGAGTTAATGGTAAATTCAAGGGTCAATTTGATTACTTCAAGAATTTGATGAATTCATGCACTAAGGAATTTTATGATAATTTACTGACGTATTTTATGCAATATGACCTTTCATCATTTAATGTACGAATCATTCCGATGACTGAAGCCAAACAAGATTTAATCGAGTTATCAACAAATCCTTTAGATGTATGGATAAATACACATTATGATGAATTGTGTGCAGGTATGACATGTAAAAATGCTCTATTCTGCAAACCATCAGACATGAAAGACAAGAATTTCCAAATGAGTATTAAGGATAAATGTGAAAGGAAACAAAGAAAAATAGATGGTAAACAGACATGGTATTATGTTTTGAAAGAAGAAATGAAAGGATTATATAAACAGGTTGAACCAAACGATAATGAGGATTCATTTACTGACGATGAAATACCTGTAAATGATGCTTTATAAAGTATGATTTGAATTTATTTTTGCATTAATCCTGCTGTGTTGTCAAAATGTCATGTTGTCTCATTTTTTCAGAGAAGTTAAATAACCTGGTGACCTGGTGACCTGGTGACACCTTCAGTTCTTCAAAAATAATTAATTATTGAATAACCTGAAAACATTAACGATAAAATATATTTTTGGGTCATTTACACTCATGTTTGACAAAGCATTAACGATGAAATCATCATGACAAAACATTTCCGGGACTGTTGTCTAAATGTCATGTTGTCTCATTTTTTCAGAGAAGTTAAATAACCTGGTGACCTGGTGACCTGGTGACACCTTCAGTTCTTCAAAAATAATTAATTATTGAATAACCAGGACTTATTTTCCAACAACTTTCTAAAGTCTTTCCTAAACTGACTGACTGACTGACGGCACAAAGTGACTTAACGAAAACATTAATATATAAAATTCATGAGGTTAGAAATGAGGTTAGAAATGAGGTTAGATCTACCCTTCTACCCTAAAATATATTTTGGGTCATTTACGTTCATTACGATGAAGAAGTCTTGACAAAACATATACGATGAAGTCATGACAAAGCATTAACGATGAAATCATCATGACAAAACATTTCCGGGACTGTTGTCTAAATGTCATGTTGTCTCATTTTTTCAGAGAAGTTAAATAACCTGGTGACCTGGTGACCTGGTGACACCTTCAGTTCTTCAAAAATAATTAATTATTGAATAACCTGAAAACATTAACGATAAAATATATTTTTGGGTCATTTACACTCATGTTTGACAAAGCATTAACGATGAAATCATCATGACAAAACATTAACGTAAACATTAACGTAAACATTTATTTCCTATGTTGTTGTCTAAATGTCATGTTGTCACAAACTTTAGAACGGCATAATTTAAATTTTTATTTTTATCATAAATGGATACCCCACAAGCTCAAAATTTACCACGAATCATAACAAGGGAGGAAACGATAAAAATGATGCGAGAACTTGCTAAAAATAACAAACCACTAAAACTGAGAAAATGCGGTTATGCAGTAATGATGGAAAGAGAGACGTTGTCGAAGAGGAATAAAAATTAAATTTGGATTGAGTTTAAAATTCATCTTTATTAAATTCATCTCTTCCAATCAATTTATTTATTCTATTAAATTCTTTTATTTTTGCTTCACTCAGTTTAAGGATTGAACGGTAAGTTTCTAACTTTTCAATTATTTCCTTCTTCTCTTTATCGTTTTCAATTACTTTAGTTTTATGGGCATCAACCCCACCGCATTGCGGCTTCTTTTTGTAATAGCATATTTTTGATTTAATTCTGTTTAGTTTCTTTTTATATTCATCGTCTGGACTCTTGGCTGCTTCGTTGTCACTCATTTCTTACGAAATAAAAAAATTAAATATTATTTAAATATAATGGAGTAATAAAATAAATCGGAATTTCTATTAATTTATTGTCAACTTCAACTAATGCATTGCCGTTAATATATCTAACAAATTCAGCTATTGTGTCAAATCTTCGTCTTCTTTTTGTCATTGATTTATCAGTTTTTCCATAATCGAGATGAATCAAAACTTTATCCCCTTGTTTAAAATTCATGAGCCCCGAATTAATTTGTTCACGTTTAACATCATTCAACCTTTCCATTTGCTTTCTAATATATTCCCATTCTTTTGAAATATCATTTTTCATTTCCACTGGTTTCATGTTTATAGTTCTATGCCATGTATTATTGTAATAATATACTAACTGCTGTATGATGGAGTCATGATTTCCATCCCAGTATATCTGACCGTTAACCCTAACGCATCTCTAAGAGTTCTCATTACCGCATCAACTATTTTATTATGAAACGTATATGGAGAGGATGAAAAGAAAAAATTAATTTGTGGGAAATAATGAGTCATAGCTGCCTGAAATCCTTTATCACCATCACCCCTGATATTATCTACTCTTTCATGATCTAGTAAGTATTGAATAGCTCTTCTTGTTTCCTGTTCTGTTTTCCCTTTCACTGGAATGCAATATAAATATCTAGTGTTAATGTTAATGGCAAATAAATAAGTAACGTTTCCTTTTGAATATTCCAGATGATCGATTTCGTATGAATATGGATATGGAGCAAATGAAGGGCGACTAAATTTTTCCTTTAACGGTTGAATTTTCGGGTCAATTGGTTTATTTAATATCTTGAAATCCTTTTTAAAATCTTTTTGCTTCTTTAATGTTTGAAATGGATATAATAAAGTGAAAATGTTCAACAAAAAATAAACGTTGTTAAACCAATTACTGAAATAAAAATTTTTTCATCTGTTGAAGAATTTAATGACTATTATGCTAATAATAAAAAATTATTTGAAGAATTGACAACGTGTAAATTGAATAAAATGTTTAAAGTTGATGGATTCAAAATTTCAAAAATAAAGGGGGTGGTTAGTTTGAAATCTATTCCTCAATCAAGAATCACCTCATTAATGAAAATTGATGATTTAACAAAAAGAATAGAAGAGATTGAAGAAAGAATGAATCAAATAATTGATTTCATAAATTCAAATAATCATTAGTTTCTTAAAGTTCAATGTTGAACTCATCAAATTCTTCTTCATCATTACCATTACTCTTTCAACTCTATCTTTTGATAGTCTTGCGTTTAATTTTTCGTAAGAAGTTTATTTTTTAAAAATTTTTAAAGTTTATTTTTTTATTTTTTTTATTTCATTATGTATGGGCTGAGTGTATAATATTTATTACTAATTTATTTAATAATGTCGCGCTTTCTTACGAATTCATGACTTAAAAAACGTAAGAAAAAATTTTATATCATCTATGTATAGAGGCTGGGAAAACATACCTTCATCTATATATAGATGTAACAAAAAAAGTCACACAACCCTTCCTATCCTACTACTATTTTTAAAATCGGTTTCATTTATCATTAAATAAAAATTAGAATATAAGTGATGAAATATATTTTTTTAATTAATATTAAATCAGAAATGGCGGCAGGATTCTTTAAAAAATTATGGGATGGAATTAAGAAAGCTGCGGGTTGGGTTTATAAAAAGATTATTAAACCCATTGCAAACTTTTTGGCACCAGTAGCGAAAACGGCAGGAACTATCATAGGTGGAGTATTAGGTACTAAAGCAGGTAATCCGGCGATGGGAGCACAAGCAGGTAACGCAGTTGGTGGAATAGCTGAAGGAATACTTAATAAAATAGGAGGTAGATAGTGGAAAAATAAATATGAGATCCTATGGATCATCTCGCCACTTAGCGGCTTAAAATTATTTTTATCTTAGTATCGGTTGTAGTCTTTGATAAACTTTTTCTCCTTTATTTAAAACTTCTCTTATTGGGGCAGCTTTTGGTGTTATTGATTCAGCAACGTCACTAATTGCTTCTTTATTCTTAAATATCCAATTTGCCCCTTCTTCAATGTTTCCCAAACTTTACTCGCTCCTCTTTTTACTCTATCCCACAGTTTCTTAAATATACCTGCAGCCATAGTTGATTATTTCATTAAAATTAAAAATTCATTTTCATCTTTTAATTTTGATTTTTTATTTATTAATAAATGACGACTAACTATTTGGTGCCAAACACTAAACCGATTAATGGAAATGTGTTTCATTCATTCGAAAAGATAAATGAAATATTCGCAAAGAATGACGGTAGAAGATATTATAGAGAACTTGAAAGTTCATGCTATGGCTCTGATGCTCCATATTTTGATGATAAACAAACTCATTTAAGAATTACAAATCCGGCTCATGATGTGAACCAATTAGGTGA